GCTTGATTTGAGTCGCTGGAAAATTATATAGCAAACTGGTGTTGGGCTGTTGTGCCATAGAGGGGGATAATAACTGTTAGAATTAAACATTTTCTTTCTGCACAAGAGGATGACTTTTAAAAATTGACTACGACAAACAAAACTGTCAAAACAAATGCATCGAAAGTGTAACCACACACACACAAAATATTACATGACTTGACACAAATGACAGATTGTCAGGAACACCAACTGCTGCAATGATATTTGCGGAACAAGAACCGTATTTATAATAAAATTCTAAATATAAAACTAACCTGGATGTAATAGTTGGATAATCATTTTTTAAATTAATGTCATTAATGATCCTGTCCGAATGTCCTCCAAATATGATATGTGACTGTTATGAGATGCGTGACTATTATAAATAAAGCCAATACTAGTGTGTATGGCTGTGTTTAGTGGTCCCTTGATGAATTCGGCGAGGGCCCCTTGCTTTTAAGTTTGCCTTGCCCTTTTTGCACGCCATAATATAGTAAATAGTGATTATATATAACGGGCCCCATGGCGTGTTAGACCCTGGCAATCGCGAGTCAAATGGACTCCGGCCAGTCAATTTATGAACAGTTAGGGACAATAATACCGACGGGCATATATCCATTTATTTTTTAATTTGTGTTCCTGGTTCTGATCCGGACCTGACTTTGCTTCCAAGTAATCGAGTAATCCAAGTCGTTTGATCTAATATTTTCTGCAAGAAATTCGTCTGAATTCTGTTGTTTTTGTTTATTAATAAATTAACTGGGCATAGGTATTATCCATTTTCCGTGGGGTGTATTTTTTTTATAGATAACAACATAACCCCCAATCTGAAACTGGGGACATCACATATCGATAACGCAATTATAACATGAATTATTGGTTAAAAGTTAAAGTATTGTCCAAAGTACCTATCTACCTAGTGCTAATAATAATAGCATAAACATGACTCTTTACCGATTATTTCATGCCAGTGTATGTGCTTTTTTTGGCTTTTTCCGCCTTTATCGCATTTATGATCCTCATAACAACTCATCAGCTCTACTGGGTCCTTTCAGGTATATTACAGACTATAATTCTTATAAAACTAATTATGTTGGTGTATGTTAGTTAGTACATAGTATTGTTTATTTTATTAACATAGGGTTAATTAATCCCTAATTAACGCCATTCAATTGATTACTTTTAAATTCTGTTCTAGGTAAATCATTCTTGTAACAAATAGGTAGGTAAATTATTAATAATAATTAATATACACATAAGGTGGGGATCTTGCAGATCTGTATCATCTAAGAAACTTGGTGTTAAAATAGCCACTTATATCCTACTTATACAAAAGAAACAAAAAACTGGTGAGTTTTTGTTTGATCTTTATGTAATTAAAACGCATATGAAAAAAGTTAACGCCCAACGTGGGTTTCCGAACCCATGACCCTGAGATTAAGAGTCTCATGCTCTACCGACTGAGCTAGCTGGCCTGGGGCAAATATTGTGATTTAGCTGTAACAATACTTTTTAAATTACTTAAGTTCCATTAAAATAAATTATTTAATTTCACGCTTGATTCATTTGTAAGTTTGGAAATGGAAACCATTCTCTGTCAATCGATTTACTTCGCTTCGTTTATGAGATACTGCATACAATTCAATTTTAATTGTTGTTAGTACCATGTATAAGATCCTTGGTTAGTAGGTACTAGTAGGTAGGTACCTACCTAGGTACAGGGTTATTCATTATAAATTACCCACCCTTTTATCATCGTTATTATTGCCTATAGAAAAAAAGTTTTAAATAAAAGTTGTGTGGTTATGATTTAATTTTGTTGAAATGCTATTAAAAGTACAGTAGCGTGCAGATTTCAGGGGATACAAAAAATAATATCTTATTTTAAATGGAATACCCTGTATATTATTAAATTTTTTGAATGATCCTTTTTTATGATTTCAAAAATGTATCATATGTTATCCCTACCATATACCGTTTTTGAGTTATTAATTGTTATAAACTCGGCACTCAGTGGGCACTGAGTGTATCTTGGTCCTTTTCTAGAACTATATTTTAAAGAGATAAGATAGAGATACATCAGTGCGCACTCGAGTGCCGAGTTTTCATCAAGTAGAAAACGCTATAATTCGGGAAGGTAAATATTTCCGAATTTGCATCATAACTCAAAAACAGCGAAAAAAATGTCGCTTGGGCCCTTTCAACAATAAACGATTCAATTTAATTTTAGGCTTTGTTCCAACCTCGAATATGAGCTATATGTTTATGTGCATAAGGGTCCAGTTCCAATGTTAGTGCAGTAGGCAACTTGCAAGAACTGTAAACTAGACTTACAGTTCTTGGGCAACTTGTGTATTATGACTCGTTTACAGTGGTTGCATAATTATGTAACCTTACACTAATATAGTCACTAGTCAGTGTAGTCCATCGTCAATTCTGTTTTCAGAAAATAAAATATACCTACCTCTATTTCCTATATTATAATATTTTCTTCAATTTTTGTAATTTTTGTTGTTTTGTTTTAATTAAATAACCAAACGCACTCCAATCAGATTTGAAATAATTTTATGAGTTCTTTGATTGTTTTGTTAAGTATGTAAAATATTAAAATAAAGCAACTTTTGAAGCATTTCCATACAATAGGTATTTGTTACGGTATTTATTTGTTACAGGAATAATGGATAGTATATTATTTTTCCTAAACTACATACATAAAGGATAAAATGTTTTGTTTGGTTTTTAATATTTTTATTATTTTGTTTTAATAAAGAACCGATCACTAATCAATCAGATTTGAAATACTTTTTTATTAGTTCTTTGTTTGTTTTGTTCCGTATGTGAAATAAAGGTACCTTTGAAGCATTTCTATAGATATAATTATACTTAATTTTATTTCAGAAATTCAATTTTTGTAGCAATATGTATCTGTCATTTAAAGATATAATATTTTCGCTTAAAAAAACACATCTCTCTTTGTTACAGGAATAACTGATAGTATATTATTTTTCCTGCACTACTTGGCCCATAAAGGAAAACTTGAACAATGGTACGATCAATCCGGTTTACGAATTATTTGTCGTTATGGAATTATTGTTGCTACAGCGGGTCTGCTATGCCTAGGATACTTTACCACCATTCAAGTAATGTATAAAAAACGTAAGGGCATCCGACAAAAATAACAATGGCTTTATTGAAGTAAGTAGAAATTTCTAAATAGTAAGTGAAAATAAGTGCGATGTATAAATGTACACTAAGTAAGTAGAAATTTCTTGCTCCAGGGCCATCCTCACATTTCAAATATATTTTTTGTATAATTCTAAAATCATTCTGATTTAAGAGTGAACTGTATCCAATACAGTCTAAAGTCAAAATCTCTGATTTGTTTTAGCTATTATGCCCATAGCAGACAGTAGTGTTATTTCTATTGTATGGTCAATTGTGGCACTAAGAAGTGGCTTGATTCTTATGTATTATTGCATAGGCTATCAAAAAAATGACGACGAGACTAGGCTATTGGTGACTAATGAAGAAATTCGATCTGTAGAGATTGGACCTGAAGAAGAAGAAAAATGAGACTGGGTCGCACTCAGGGATTGAGGATGCGGCGTAATGATTTTACTTTTGATTTTTTTAAATTTATAAGAAATACAAATCCAAATTAACACGTTTTGTGAGACTGATAATAAATTTTCTATTGTTATGTATGATAAAATTAAATAAACATAATAAGTAAAATGGTTTGCGTTATAGCAAATATTGATGAGTCAGTATAGCAAACTCAGTTGTAAAAAGGGTAAAAAACATCGAGTCCGGCTCTTTGTAGCTCCTCAGCAAAATAGTCATCCACAGAAAACAGAAGATAGTACGATATTGTATTGTGATCAGACATTTTTATTTTGAAAAATGTGTGAATTTTTTTATTTTTTCGAAAGATCGTTTTTTGCACATCTGTAGTCTGCAGTCATATTTCAAAAATGAATTGAAGATATCATCTTTTTCTTTAAACTGATACCGGTTTTTTCCATGCATTGTAGTGAGTATATTAAAACAAAATTAACATAGGCACTGAAACCGTCGATGAAGGAAGTTCAGAAAATACGCAGTTAAGTTTTCACTTGGATAGAACCAGGCGCGGGGGGCAATGGGGGCAATGGAGAAGAATTGGGGGCTATTGCGTTCAAGAAACTCTTTCCTGAACGACCAAGTTTCACGATGTTTTTAAGAATTCGTCGTGGAGTATATCAATAGTAAAGCCATAGCGTTTTTTTAATGTTTTTGACATACTGAATTTAATTGAAGATAGCTAAATATTCCTTCTGCCCTTGGAAACGTTGCCGGTCTCCTACAAGATATTCTCAATTTATGCTATTCAAAAATTTGATGTATAAGAATATATTCTACTTATGAAAGGTACAGGGTAGTTCCATAGTCACCTCACAGCCATAATTTTTAGAGATATGAAAAAAAAAATGTGGAGGAAAAGTTGTAGTATTTAATGTGTGCTATCTTCTGGAGAAGAAAAATAAAAGAAAGTCATCGAAAAGGAAAAAATAACTCGTTTTTTTGAACATTTTTACATATCGTTGATATTTTCTCGCTGGTTCTAAAAACATATACTATGTTGTAACGTTGTTTTCGAGATACTGCGCCGTTTTATAATAAGCTGGTGGATTATGGTTTGCCATGGAAAAATACTTAGAAGGCTGGTCATAGCACTTCCCTCAGATAACTTTTTGTGGGGTTTTTGACAAAATAAAGTATAATGACCAACCTCAAACTATTCAAATATTAAAAGCCAGCTTCGAAATCAGCATAATAATCTAAAACAGCATTTTAGAATATTTAGATACAATAAATAGGAAATTAATAAAAAACATTAGTTGCATAGTTCAACAAGGTGGGCATGAAGAACAGTTGTAAGAAATTTCTACCTATATTGATTTTAACAGAAAAATTATTTTTCTTTACGCTGCTGTTCCTTTGTTTTATTTATTAAAGTCAAAATATAATCCAAATAATAGTCTATAACTTTCACTTGGGCTTTTTTTATTATGTATGAATGAAATTATTATATGAAAAATAAGATCATATTTTCTGCATATCACTATCCATTTTAAATTTAGCATTTGTCTTTCTTTTCCATGGCAAACCATAATCCCACGCTTATTATAAAAAGGCGTAATATCTCCAAAACAACTGGATTAAATGCCAACACAGAATATATTTTTTAGAACCAACGAGAAGTAATCTAGAAATATGTAAAAACATACAGGGTGTTCCATTAAAAAAAAATAAGACATTTTTCCCACTTTTCGATGACTTTTTCTTTTATTTTTCTTCTCCAGAAGATAGTATACATTAAATACTACGACTTTCCCCTCCACATTTTCATACTTACTAGGTATCAAAATATATGGAACTACCCTGTACAAAGCTATAGAAGGGACACTCAAAATAAAATATTTTCTTCGCCTAAAATTACCAGTTATAACCCGGAATTTTAAAAATGCCGAATTACATATACATATCTCTAAATTTTATTAAAAAAAAGAGAGTCGGTAAAAAAAATTTTGTTTTGCAATCAATAATAATTTTTTTATTTGTCGTTGCAATATTTCCACTTCGTTACGTGGACGTGGAACTAATTACTTCAACGACATGAAAGAAAAGTAAACAGACAGTTTATCGTTAACCTAGGTCTTGAACGAAATAATTAAGTTCAACCAATTAATTGTGCATGCAACATAGAACGTGAGCCACTGGAGGAAGTCCCGTACGAACTGTATCTCTGAGGTAACGCTATGTGCGCTCACCTGGCAGTTCAGATTAAGCCAGGTAAAATGCTATACGGAAGGTCGGATTTCTGACCGCTTAGACGGGGTTTATTTATTTAATCGTGAAACTTTGTGTTTTTTTTTTATTCGCCATTTTAACAGAAGGTGAGTTTTTTTTATTTATGTAAAAGATAAGTATATGTGTTTAACAAAATTAGAAGCCTGTCAACCATTAACAAAATAATTAATAGTATTTTTTTATGTTTATATTGCTCTATATTTCAATTCAAATAATATAGTGGTTACAGATATATTCACTAATATTTATTGATAGATCATTTAAGCAGGGTACTGGCTATTTATACTATGCATATATTTTGTTTTAAAATAATAATTTATATGTCGAAGGAAGTTTTACCCCCTTCTGGACCTGGACTGTAAAAGCAAGTAAATCCGCATGGGTACCTAGCTTTAAAAAACTGTTTATTTTCCCTTGATAAAATTTTTAATTTTAGAATAACTTTTTAGTTAACAATACTTTGAAATAAATGAAAAATGTAGCTATTGCGCTACTGCATTACTGGTGATGCTTTTCGAATTAATTTTTTTTTTTAACTGTTTTTTCATAAGTTTGTTCTAGTGCGTAATTAGAAGTTAGGGAAACAGAATAATTATTAATTATAGGTAATAATAAATTATTC